AAAATTTGTTTGATCAGTTAGTTAGGATTATTATTTACTCTTCTTACATATTTAAGAAAAACCTTTGTTTATATGTGATATAGTACATCCCTAAAGGAACCTTTTAATGCAAGTAAAAACAGATTTTTTTTAAATTATTGGAGTACCAACTTGTGACAGAAAAGTCTTAAGTAGATGGAATCGTTGTTATGATTGGGAGCAACTACCTTATTTTTAGTTAATAATAATGTTATGATACTCGTAAGGGTAATTGATGAGTTGGTGCAACAGATGATATCTCATAAGAAAAAAAGGCTAAAAATCAATTCCTCATGTCAACGTAGTAGGCTTCATCGCATTAGACTTGTCTAGTTTGATTTACTTCTCATGTGTGGCTTGCGAGTGCTATTGCATAGGAGAGATTTACTTTTCTAAACTGCGATTTCAAAAAAAAAATGTTTTGATCAAGAATTAAAAATATGGGAAGCATTGACTTCCAAAACAAGTAGATCCAAAAGGTAGTTAATAATTTATCAAACCTCAATGAATACTCCTCATGAAATTATTTGTTTGCATGTGATTTTAGATCCCTTGATCATACATAATATAAAGTCAAATCCCTTTAAGAGTCAACACAACATTTTAATATTTTTCCAAATACCCTAAAGTATGCTAAAAGCACATGGAACAAGAATGTGGATATATTAAAGTACAATGTGACTAATCCGTAGGGTACGTTCGCTTTGACTTTTGACATAGACTTGTATTAATAATAAATATCGTAAACTATAGTATATAATATTGATAATTCTTCCTTCATTTCAGAAGATGTCTTATTGTTATTATCTTTGATTATTCGTTTTAACGGTTGACGTAAAGTGATAAGTATTTTTTCATTCTAAATTAGAAGTGTTAAGTTTAAATTTATGAAAAATATAATTATCTTTCAATAGCGAGTTTCTCACCTTATACTAAGATTTTGATGTGAATATTTAAACGATTATTGAATAGGGAGTGAAAACTAAATAATAATTTTTTTACTATTAATCCAACAATAGAAGCACTCAACCCCACGACTCCAATATTATTATAAATTATTATTTCATTCCAATAAATATTGCCAACCTTGTATGATTAATTGCTCTTCTTTTTTAATTTTTGCAAGCATTTAGTGCAATGTTTTTATATTATATAAATTAAATTATTATCAGTTATTTAAAAGTGAGAATTCTCATATCAAGTTATGATGGAGATACCATATGTGAGCTTAGAAAATGCATTTAATTTGTCATTATAAATCCATCTTGATCAAGTCATCTTCTATTATTTTTAAATGTGGTATTAATTGCAAGAGCCTTTTTTATGAAGAAATATTCGTTATACGTATCACATAAGCTAGTTGATCCACCATTTGCTTATCACATTATTTATCATTATTAGAGATCAAGTAGTTACGTACCACGAGATATTAGTTAAGCTGACACACTAAATAATTTCAAATTTAATTTTCCCTTTTTACTAAGGCTGTTAATATGATTATATTTACGAGAAGTAATAAATATAACTACAAGAATTTAAATGTGTATAGTGCAAGGTTCATTAAAGAAGAAACACTCTCTATCAGATATATTTTCATTTCTAAAATTCAAACTCAAGATATTTATAGTTAAGAATGAAAGGATCTTATCTATTTCGACACGACATTGAAGTCATGATAAATGGCCTTAATGATAGCGAACGGAAGGTGTTAAGTGAGCTTGGTGGCAAATGAAGTCACATGTTAAGGAGACGTTTGTTGAAAAATTAAATTGATGTATACGTAAATGTGGTACTCCATCTGTTTCAATTAATATGATATTTTTTTTGTTTTTCGAGAGTTAAATAATTTAAATTTGACTGAGAATTTGCACATAAAATCTTTAAACGTTTTGAAATGAAATTTATATATTTGTAAACTACGTAAAATGTACTCTAAGAGGGTGTATGGATTGGCTTAAAAGTTGATCAAATCTACTTTAAAGCCAGTTTTTTACTTCTGAAAGTATTTAACAAATATAAAAATAACTTGAAATAAATTAAGAAGTGTTTAAAATAACTTAATAGTAGTTTAAAATGACTTTAAATAAGTTAAAAAACAAAAGTGGACCTCCCTTACTTTTTATTTTTTGAATTAAAAATCACTTATGTTTGACTTTTTATTTTTTACTTTAAAACAACTTTTAAAGCCAATTCAAACAAGCTCTAAGTCACAATAATTAACAATTCAAATTATTTAAAAGATATATGAAAACTTTATAGTCAAAAATAATTTTTTTTGAATCACAAAATTCGAAAAATGTCACACAAATTGAAATAAAGGGAGTAATATATATGATCAACTACACCTTTTTTCATGATTTACTAGATAGACTAAGTTGGTCACAGTACATTGTTATCCTGCTGTTTTTTTAAAAAATATTATACTTATAGTTTCTAAACTAGCTTACGCGCATCTCATTAATTCGAGAAAGACCTATGTATCATGTTTTTTCTTTTCTTACAAAATAATGATGTGTATTTAATTTACATGCACATGACACATGACACATCGTGGGGAAGTTCAACCATGCTCAATATAGAAATTGATTAAATCTCAACCTAATCGAACTTAGATGTTCATGTATATTTTGTGTAATATTTGAAGCGATAACGGATAAAACAAATAATAATATTGTATAAGCTATATGTTCGAATGAAATTGTTTTATTATATGACAAAACAATCAAAGGTCAAAAAGTGAACAACAAAGAAAGAAAGAAAAAGATCAATATTGCGTCAGTCAACCAAAATAACACAAAATTAGTGATAATAAAAGTTACTCCCCCATTTCGGAAGAGAAAAAGAATGGCCTAGTTTGATTTAAAATGAAATGTAATAAAATAAAATAAAAAATTAATTTGTGATTCTAAATTAAAGTTGTGTCAAAAATAATAAAAACTCTTTTACTGTTCTAACCTTAAATACATACTATTTTGATAAAATTTTAAAAAAATTAATTATTCTTTTTTAAACGAGTGAAGTATAAAAAATATATAGAAAGAGAAAAGACTGCAATAAGTGTAGGCACATGGGAGGTTGGATTTTCAGTTTTGTAGAAAAAGAAAAGGGAGGAAACAGTAGGCAATAGATGATGAAGAAAGAAGCAGCATCAACCATATTCCAAATTAATTATTCATTACCTCACAAGAGTATTTCCTTTTCAAGAAAAAAAAAGTATTTTTTAACTAATTACCACAAATATAACTTTATGTAATTGGAGTTTTTAGTCAAAAATAAAAATAAAAATTTCATCGATGTCTAATACCCATAATGAAATCTGATTGGATCTAGTCCAAAAATTAAAGAAATACAACTCCATATTCAAAGAAATTCGAATTCAAAATCTCTGATTAAGAATGTCCATCACAAAGGGTTGGTTATCCCTTAATAATTTATGGAAACAAGTACTTATATAGTACATAGAAGATAAATATGAAATATACATCATGAACATCAGCAAGATCACATGGTTTCAGTTATATGCACGACTCATTATATATATAACAATAACATCTCATTTATCTAAAACTTGGTAACCTACAATTGAGGATCTTGTTTCAATTTTTTTTCTCATGATTATAGAATATCATTCCCAATTGATTTTATATTTTTAATATTAATTTTCTCAATATATAGATCACTTAATCAAAATAAATTAGATATTATGCTTCTTTTACTATAATTTTATCTATTGTCTGATTTATCACCGTCAAAATGTATAACTATCAATTTCCACATAACTCTGCTATTTCGATCATAACATTAAACTATAACCAATAAACTAGTTAAAATCCATTTAAAGTGATTTAATATATATATACATGTAGGAAAAAAACTTATATTTATTTTACATACTCGTATCATATATTTATAATGAATTATGTTGATTTATTAGTTAAGTGATTTAATGAAATTATAATGCATATTAATTAACTATAATTAAGCGCTAGAAATACATGTGCAAATACATGATATTCATTTATTAATATGATGTAAAATTTAGGTGTGAGTTAATTTTCACCCTATAATTATCTATTGTTTGCAAGTTGCCAATTGGAATCCTATTAGCAACTATACTAGTACTCTCAAGTACTTGAAAAACTATCATCACATTACTATAGCAACTTGTTTCACTAGTGTTTAGATAGTTTATTTTCATCTAGTATTCATATTTGATATCTATATTGACTCTCAATTAATTCAGATTCATATTGTGTAGGACTCTATTCAGGGGGAAGCACGCTTTCTATCAAAAAAAAATTCATACTCAAAACTCGAAATTGAAATCTCTTATTAAGAAAGATGCGACGATGCACCATATTCTATGGTGGTAGTGTTTAGGTAGTTTTGCTAACACGAAATCAAGAACTCAAAGCTTCCTCTATGTATCTTTTAGGCTTTGCCATAAGTTTAAGCATGAATCATTAGCACACATTCCATTTACTCCATCACCATGTTTCCATGTGCCTTAGCTTGAGATAGCTCTAGCTATTCTTATTACCACGTTCACGTCACATGTATTCTTGTACATTACATTTACCGTATATGTTTTTCGCAATTATTTCTTCAATTTCAAAATACTTATCATGTTTCTTATTTTTATTTTTAATTTAATGAATATTCTTCAGAACGGAAATGAATTAGATTAAAAAAAATTGTGAGTATTAGAAATGTGATATATCTTGAGATTATTCTTATATCAATATAACGAAAAAGTATATATTGGTCAAAATTTATAACTCACACTCGATAAGCAAATAATATGACAAATATGTTAAAACGGAGGAAATACATGCTTAAACCATGATAAATATATAGGATCAATATACCTCTCACACATATTAAAAGTGAGTATAAAATTTTAAATCAACGAAAACAGAGTAGTATTTAATTACGGAGTCTGCCATTGCAACTCCTCAATAAATAGGCACCTCACTTTCCTTTCCCTCTCAATTCGCTCTCTGCTCAAATCCCATATTCCCTTTCTCTCTCTGTTTTCTCTTCACACTGAACAAACACTTCACTGTAAGAAAAATGGCTGTGAATTGGGCACTCTGCGTTGCTAGTCTTCTCTGTTTTCTAACGGTTGTTAACGCAAAAATCGCCGGAGTTTACACCGGCGGATCCTGGACAAGTGCCCACGCCACCTTTTATGGAGGCGCTGATGCTTCTGGAACCATGGGTACCGTACCAGTCTCTGTTCTCCCCATTTTAAGCAGAATTCATCGGTTTTCAACTTAATCTAGACATACTGTATATATTTTGGTACCCGTGAAGCCTAAGCCATAGATTTTGAAATTCGAATTTGAAAATTTAAGTTTTCGAAGTTGTATTTGGACCTACATTTTACTTGGAAAGTGAAATTTCTTCAGAATTTGAGATAAATTTCATGGTAAACAGATATTTGAAGAAACATTTTTAAAATCTGATTCAAAATCTACTGTGAAACGTTAGCTAAACTTTTAATTTGGTTCAGTGTGGTGTTTTTCTTTCCATTACTCTGTTTTCTACTCTTCACGTGAATCCCACACCATTTTCGCTTTATTTAGAAGGTTAGTTACTGATGGATTTACAATGGCTGATGTGTGTAGGTGGTGCATGTGGCTATGGGAATCTGTACAGCCAAGGGTACGGAGTAAACAACGCGGCATTGAGTACGGCACTTTTCAACAGTGGGCTGAGCTGCGGCTCTTGCTTCGAGATAAAGTGTACTGACAGTAAGAAGGAATATTGCAACCCTGGAAACCCTTCCATCTTGGTAACAGGAACAAATTTCTGCCCACCAAATTACGCCTTGCCTAACGATAATGGAGGCTGGTGTAACCCACCTCGCCCACATTTCGACCTCGCCATGCCCATGTTCCTCAAAATTGCTGTGTACCGTGCTGGAATTGTTGCTGTCAACTACCGAAGGTTAGTTGCTCACACAGTGCCTAATTAGCTATAAATTCTCTTTTCGCTATTCGAGATAGTCACCCAACTGAACTAATTCCTTGAATTGTTCGTTCTTTTGTGGATTTTATTTGCAGAATTAAATATAACTAGTTTGAATTGTAAGCAAACTTTTATACTCATTTAACACCAAAAAAGTCATTACGTGTTAAACAAGTAATTATGCTTTGGATTTACTTAAACTAAACTTTCCAGTTTCCTGAGGGTTAGTTTTGATATTTCTTATATGGTACAGAGCTGATTTGAGCTTCCATATAATACAATATTACTATTACTTTGTATATTTGTGATGCGTACATATTTATAACCTCTTTTTTTGGATTACAAGATTCAAATGTTTTAGTGCTTCACATAAATTGGAACAAGAGTAACTACTACTACAATGAATGTGCACATTTATTTTCTCGTCATGATTTAACAAGTTCTCTTAAGACTGAAATGTCCAATTTGCCGGATTTTTAGCAAAACCGTTACTGATCTGTTGAGTTTTCATTTTGAGATTAACTTCATTACACTGACCGTCAATTTATTTTTAGAAATACTTATTTCTTTTATTTTTTCTTTTTGTGGTCCTATTTTCTCCCCAATTTTAGCAAATGAACATAGTCTTGCTATACCAAAAACCTACAACTCCTAGTTATGGTATAGCTTCATTAAAATCTACAAATGGTCCCCAATACTCTTCACCTATATTTTGCAGATAAACTGGATCAATTGAACAATAACGCGTTTTTTCTATTTTTGGTGCATTTGTCCTTAATGCTAAGTTCAAAAATAAAATCTGTTTTGTTTTTCCCTCTTTTTACAGGGTTCCATGCAGGAAACAAGGAGGAATCAGATTCACAGTCAATGGTTTCCAATACTTTAACTTGGTGTTAGTGACCAACGTTGCAGGTGCAGGTGACATTCAGAAGGTTTATGTTAAAGGCACAAACACGCCATGGATTTCCATGACTCGTAATTGGGGTCAAAATTGGCAAACAAATGCAAAACTAATCGGACAAGCACTTTCTTTTAGAGTCACTGGTAGTGATCGACGCAGCTCTGCTTCATACAACATTGCACCAGCTAACTGGCAATTTGGACAAACTTTCCAGGGAAAGAATTTCCGCGTTTAATTTCACCAAATTTTAAATAATTACACTGACCTGATCGAAAAAAAGAAAATTCATACGATTTCCCGCCTTCAATTATTCTCTTTTTTATGTGGGAAAATTTTGAAGTGTCGCGGGGATTAGTTTCTTTTTCTTTTGAATTACTATCAACTTTCTGGGGAATTGGTTTGCTACTCTTTTTTCTTTTTATGTAAGTTGGGTGTTGGTAAAGTTAAAGTGAAAAATTATAGAGGCTGAAGTGGCTACAAAAGGACCAAATTTAGGGGGGGAAATTGTAGCCCACAGCTTTACTTGCATATTGTTATTATTATGGTGATGTAATGGCAAATTATTGCCAAGTTTATGAATATATTTTTATACTGCAAATCTTATAATTGTATTGTTATAACATGTGGTAATGTTCCAATTCATATTTTACATTGACTCTCTCTAATATAACTTCCATTTCCGCGTCTTTCGAATTATGTCTCTTGTGACCATGTGTCTAGAATTATGGTGGAATGCATGAATATCTCTCTCTTAATTAAAGATATCGGAAAAAAATTTCGAGTGTTTGTGAATGTTTTCTTTTATAGGAAGCAGTATATGTATTATATGTTCAATTCTCTTAAATTTGTAAGTTATATTTTGATATTTTTTTTTAGTAAAAGCTTTGGCTACGTGCTAATAGCTCCCATAATTGTACCTTGGATGCATTTTCCTCGTAGCAACTTGATGCCATTGTGGGTTTATTTTCTTCTACTCTCTATTCCTTTTGTAGTCCAGCTTTTAAATTTCTCACTTAGAGTTGGCAATGGAGCGGAGTGGGGCGAGTGCAAGGTTGCCTCAGCAAAATATGGCTTAATTCCTATAAACTGACTTATAAATATTTAAAATATGTGTAAAAAATGGTGAGGTTTCACGTACTGTACTCCCAACTCTCTATGGAGGGTTCCGTAAAGGTTTGGCAAAACAATTGTCCGGAAGTCATATCATCAAAATATTCATGGGCTAACAAGCACGAAAAATTGCAAAAATCGCCTAATTCTTGTAAAATGGCTTCTAAATGCACAAAATATGTGCAAAAAATTGTGAGACTTCAAGTACTGATCCCCCAATTCCCTACAAAGGGTTCCGTAAAGGTTTTGAAAAAAAACGTCCGGAAGACATATCACCAAAATATTCATAGGCTAACACACACGAGTCATATCACCAAAAAAATCGTTTATTTCCTATAAAATGGCTCCTAATTAATATCCAAAATATGTGCAAAAAATGGTGAGACTTCACATATTGCTTCCCCAACTTCTTATGGAGGGTTCCGTAAAGGTTTTGCAAAAAAAAATCTACAAGTCGTATCACCAAAATATTCATAGGCTAACACACACGAATAACTAACAAAATCTCCTAATTACTCATGTAACATGACTCCTAAATAACCAAAATATATGCAAAAATGGTGAGGCTTCACGTACTACTCTCCCAACTCCCTACGGAGAGTTTTGTAAATGTTTTGCAAAATAACTATTTGAAAGTCATATCACCAAAATATTCATGGGCAAACAACACGAAAAACTGAGAAAATCACTTTATTCCTGTAAAATGGCTCCTAAATGCCCAAAATATGTATAAAAAAAAAAAGGCAAGACATCACGTACTACTCCCACAACTCTCTATGGAGGGTTCCATAAAGATTTTGCAAAAAAAAACCATTTGAAAAGTCGTATCATCAAAATATTCATGGGCTCATTGACTAATATACACGAAAAATTGAGAAAGTCGCCTAATTCCTGTAAAATGGATCCTAAATGTCAAAAATACTTGCAAAAAATGGTGAGGCTTCACTTACTACTCCCCTAACTCCCTATGGAGGGTTCCGTAAATGTTTTGCAAAAAAACTTTCCGGGAGTCATATCACAAAAAAATTCATAAGCTTATACATACGAAAAACTAAGAAAATAGCCTTCCTATAAAATGGCTCCTAAATGCCCATCATATGTGCAAAAAGTGGTGACACTTCACGTACTGCTCCCTCAACTTCTTACAAAGAATTACGTAAAGGTTTTGCGAAAAAAATCATCCGGAAGTAATATCACCAACATATTTATGGGCTAACACAAGCGAAAATTGAGAAAATTGTCTAATTATTTTTAAATGGCTCCTAAATGCACAAAATATGTGCAAAAATTTGTGAGGCTTCACGTACAGCTTCCCGAACTCCATACGGAGGGTTCACTAAAGGTTTTTCAAAAAAACCGTTTGAAAGTCATATCACCAAGATATTCATAGGCTAATACACACGAAAAATTGAGAAAATCGTCTAATTCTTGTAAAATGGCATCTAAATGTCCAAAATATGTGTAAAAATAGTGAGGCTTCACGTATTGCTCTCCCAATTCCCTACGGAGGGTTCCGTAAAGGCTTTGCGAAAAAATCATCCAGAAGCATATGGCCAAAATATTCATGGGCTAACACAAACAAAAAACTGAGAAAATCGCTTAATTCCTGTAAAATGACTCCTAAATGCCCAAAATATGAGGAAAAAATAGTGATGTTTCACGTACTGCTCCCCCAACTCTCTACGGAAGATTTCGTAAATGTTTTGCAAAAAGACTATCTAAAAGTCACATCACAAAGATATTTATGGAATAACACACGAAAAACTGAGAAAATCGCATAATTCTTATAAAAATGACCTTTAAATTCCTAAAATATGTACAAAAAAATGGCGAAGCTTCACGTACTTCTCCCTCCACTCCCTACGAAGTGTTCGTGAAGGCTGTATAAAATAACCGTCCAAAAGCGACATTACCAAAATATTCATGTGCTAACACAAACTAAAAATTGAGAGCTGCTTTTTTCAAGGAACTATCACTTGCAATTTGAATAGAAAAAAATGACTGGTGTATTATTTTCGGATTTCTTGTGTAAAAAATAGTATCTTGTAAAGATGATACTCACCTAATGACAAATTTATAAAAGAAGTACAAAATAAAAGGACGTGCCACTTGAATGGTAATCTCCAGAATTGCTGAGATTTATTTTATTTTTGGAACTGAAACAAACATTGGCATTAAATTGACAACTACAATAAAGCAACATTTCACCTCAAATTAATCGATTGTTGGTCTGAGAACACAATTCAAAATTACAAGTACTACTTAACTCATCAATGTCAAATAATTGAATTGTGCACAAACCAACATTTTCGACTTGGCGCAGATGAACATCATAAAAGATATGGACAGGTTAATTTCCCATCTTGGCATGCCTCAGAAGCAACCTACCAAATAGTATGTGGCAAATTCGATGTTTCGGAATATGACATTAACAGAGAGGAACCACTATCCATTGAATTTCGAACTGTGCCACTGACACTCAGAAATTTCTCGATTATAAAAAAACTGAAAGCAAGAGGAAGTACGAGGAAACAAGAAGAAGATCAATAGACAATATTAATGTGGACTTGTAGTTAATCGTATCAGCAAAAATCCATTTTTCAATTTCAAGTTCATAAAATTGTCATCATACCAGAAAAGGCAACAGATATGTCTCTCCTTGATGAAGTTGAATACCACATTATTTTGCTAGAACGTCACAACAAAAGAATGCTATCGTAACAGCAAGTGGCCTGCAATCAGTTGCAGGATCCAGTTCTACTATTCAAGTTTCTAATAATTTAACTGTAGAAGTACATTTTACCAATAACGACGAGGAGAGCTGTTGACATTCCAAAATAAGGAACTTCCACTACTTGTCCTTGTTGATTAACCCACAATAAACAATAATGAAAAATTGAATTGCAGAAGCGTCTTAGTCTGGTGTTGGTGCACCTTGGTTAAGCTCTGCAAATCTCAGTCCTACACGCATAGAATGCTTCAAGAACTTCTCAGCACATCGTCGGACACAGGTCTCCTCTTGTTTGTCTAAAGTTTTGCGTTTGAAACTGTCTACACAGTCCGTGAAACATCTTTCGACCAGAGAATTATACATTCTCAAGCTGCAGTAATTAAAGACAAAAAGAGACCAGGCTTTAGAGTTGTAACACTATTATCATGAGAAAGTACTAACTGAAACAGAGAGTAACAAAATACAATCCCGTTTCAATTCACTTCAAATTTCTACTTGCAACATATTTTACTGAGGAATTTGCTTTTTTTTACTGCCATTACGAACGCCCTTGTTAATCAGTAATCTCTCATTCATAAACATCACTAAAATGAGAAATCAAGAAAAGTTAATGCTTGTGAAGCCGAGTGTTATCATCAATTTCCAAAATCTTTCTCAATATATTACTCTCCTCTCCTCCATTTCTATGACTTGTGAATGACTTGATTCACTCAACTTCTTGAATACTTGTTGAGTGCATAACTGGCACTGACCATACGAATATCATCTCAACTTACAACATGCTGACTGAATTGCCTAATTCACATTAACATATGGACTCAAGCTTGCTAAAACCAACATTGGAACAAATTACCACATACATTCTATTTTTATTTAAATATTGAGGGAAAGGAATATAATATCAGCTTTGGAAATTAAGAAAGAATGCAACACATTCCTCAATGGATTCTTCCCAAGTGTGAACACCTAATTTTGCTCTGTTTTAGTTTCTCTAAAGTTCTATTTTTCACTTATTTTAATCAATCTAACAATTTTTATATAAATTGCATCTGTTATTAAAAAAAATACCAGAATTTTTTTCTTTCCTTGTTTGCAAGTATAGGATTAATTTTTTTTTGATAACCAAGACATCCGTCTGCGATATGTCCTTAGGACCAATCACAGCCTTCTAAGTTTAGGATTAATTAATTAATGCATTAATTAAATTAATTGGTTGAGTGGTTTAATTAATTAGCTTAAATAATTTTTGGAGCAAAAGAATAGAAAGGGAATATCAAAGCAATGGTACAAGCCTGCTTTCTTTTGGTTGAGCATTACCTTAAGGGGACACCTTTGTCAAAATCTGAGCGGGGAAGACAAAAGGTATTAGAACTAATCCTAAACCCTAGTAGTCCCTATATAAGATTTCCTTACTCTCTCTCGTTTGAGGGTAGAGATTTGGTGGAGGAGCTGTGAGTTCAAAATTACACCAAAAATTATATGGGGACACTAAAGTTTAGGGTTACTTCTGATACCTTTGACATCCTCCACTAGGATTTTGACAAAGGTATAGCCTTACGGATATTGTCTAACAAAATGAAACATGCATGTACCCTTATTTTGATATTCCACTTAAAATTCAACCCTAAATTTGTATTCAGATCAGTTATTGAGCACAAATTAACTATTAATACTTAATTAAGGTTAATGAAAATGAACTTAACAAGATTTGCACATGTGCTATATTATTCTCATAGTAAATGAAGATAATATACACA